GTATAACTGCTTTTCTGATAATGTTCTAATTAATCTGTAAAACACAGCCAAAATTAATGAATGCTTGGGTTGTGAACTATGGAGGAAAGGGAAAGCTGGACATGGACCTTAATCAGATATAACAGAAGGAGCTATTTTTTAAAGACCCCAAGCCGCTAGATAAAGAAAGTATAAAAGTTCAGGCCCTTCTAGGGAATGAACACTCACCCACTAGGAATCCTTTAAGAATCCCAACTAAAGTGATTTATGGTAAAAAAAAAAAAAATGTTATCTCATAGGAGGCAGATGGTGGGCCCCTCTGTTGAGGAAGTTCAGCATGGGAAACTTAAAGACTACAACAGAAGCCCTTCCCCTTACAGGCGTAAAAGTACAAGAGTCCATAATTCGGCAGGTAAAAAGGTTTTATATTAGAAGAGATATGTGGTGGAAGAACTGAAGAAAGACTTAGAGAGGGTCTGCAGCATCCAAATTGGCTCAGTGGGCCATGGGAACCAGAAAAGTAGAAATGTAAACTGAGATAAGATGAAGGACACATTGCAACCGCAAAGAAGCCTACACAAGTCTAGGGACCGTACTAAGTTTAAAAAACACAGACTGCTCTTTGGGTCATAAAGTTCTTGTGGGTGAAGGGATATGTCTAGCGCCGCTTAATAATTGTGTGCTTGCTGTTTTTTAAAGCTGATGTAATTGACTTATTGCCAAGCTCTTGTTGTTCCTTGTATGACTTGATAGTTTTCTTTTCTGTATATAAACTACTGATTTGCAGAAATAAAATTGCAACAGATTCAAACCACTTCTGAGTGTGTGGTCTGTCTGTCATTCGCCGAATCCTTGCCTTCCTGACTACCCAAGCCCTGGTTCTCCTACGGGTCGTGGTACCCCCGATAGGCCAGTCCGTGGCAACTTCCTGTTCACTGGGGGATTTGTGAGACTCCTCTCGCAGGGGAGAAATGACAGGGAGAGAAGCTGGGTCCTGCTCCAGCCCTGAGGAGGAAGAGCTCTCCCAACCATCTCCTCCAGCCATTCTCAGGAAATTCCCGGGGAAACAGAGAGAACAGGCCCAGTGAGGTGACACAGTGCAGCCCGGAGGGGACATGGCCTTCTCCCTTCAGTGCTGGAGATAGGACAGCACGGGGTCTCCTAGGCACGGGTGCCGGGGACGCAGAGACGCGCTGTGACGTGGAGTCCCCCCACACCTCTGGGAACAGAGGAAGACAGATACCACCAGGAGAGAGATTTGCTGGTCACACTCAGGAGTGAGTGAAACTATCCTGTGTTTAATGTCAGCAGGGAGGGGACATGCTGGGGCAGGGTGGTGAGGATGACTGGAATTTAGAGGCAACTATTTTCTGTGGGATTTGTCACCCTTCCCACAATGAGGGGCACACCGGTGATTTCGTTTTTAATGAAAACTAGGAAGGGCTTGTCGAACCGGATGGTGGGGACCTTCGTCAAGTTCCCCTCACTCAAACCGGTGTTCCTTGTGGCTTTCGTTGATTTGTTGCTGAAGGTCAGTACAGTCTTCTGCAAAGCCTATAGGGGAGAAGCAGAGGAAGTTGGAGGTAGGTTGTCCCACCCCAGGCTAAAGCCAGGCCCCATGTGGGGTCCCCATCCATGGAGAGCCTCCCTGTGATCATGCCCTGACCATGGCCCCTGAACCCTAATGCTCAGTAAAGGCCTTTCCCAACATGCTCAGCCCTTCCATGCTCAGACTGCCCTCCTCTCCTCTTCTTTCCTGAACCATCTCTCATAGACTCAGTTTCAGAGGGACCCCCTGTACCTCATGTCCCCCATAAAGAGTTCCTTTCCAGTGTGTGCTGAAACAAAAATTTTGAATGTGACATGAGACAATGTCTTTCTATATTAGTATAGGTAAGTTGAGTCTCAGGGAATCAACAGCCTTGGGCAAAGATAAAATTAAGGGCCACGGAGTCCCCTTCAAGGAGATCTTCATGATAGCGAACGATTCCTTATCCTGGCTGTTCTCTCTGATCTTGCAACCCCTAAGGTGCATCTCTCGAGTCTGTGGGGAAAGCTGTCTCTGTCCCCTGGCATTTTCTTCAGACTCATGTCTGATCTGCCCTCACATCCCATTCAGCCCTGTTGGCAGCTGGGATACCGCCACTGTCACATGACCTCACCTTATTGAGCTTCACGGGAGCATCCTGTGTGATCCCTGAGAGGTCAGCCTCATTGCTGAAGGCCTGGGTGATGCCCAGTGTGCTCAGGATGATCTCCAGGTCATAGGTTGTGGACATAGCCAGTTTGGGAAAGTACACATTTGCAGTTCTGGTATGCAGAAAGATATGAAGGAGTTCTTTAGTATCATGGTCACTTCAATATTATCTTCTCATCCTGGCACCTCCTGGAAGGTCACCCACCTCATCTGGAAAGCCCTCCAGGGAGATTCAGTGTGTTCTGAGACTCATGTATGTGACTCCCCAGGGTGAGGCTCAGCCTTCAGTTTCCACAGACAGGGCAAGGACCCTGGAGGGTCTATGCTAAGAGAAGAGACCAGCCCTGAGACTGTTACCAGTTCATTCTCATCCTGCCTGACTCTTTGCTTTCTGTAGGGCCTCAGTAGGTGTGGGGCTGGGTACTGAGACAGAACATCTGTCCACAGTTCACCTTGAGCCCACCTGAGCTTCTATGTGTACATCACTTCCCACCTCCCCCTCCCCCCCAAGGGAGAGCAGGGCCTGTACTCCATAAGAGCAGGTTTAGTGATCTGGAGGGGGAGGGGCACATTCTGGACCTGGTGGTTCGACCTCACTGAAGGATGACAGGAACATAGTCTTCAATAGTCATGCCCTGAGCTCTCTGTGGCTGACCCTCTCCTGCTCTAGGCCCTTCACTGTGGTGATATATTGTGTCCCCCAATATATTGTATACCCTAATAAAACTTACCTGGGGTTGGTCAGAGAACAGAACAGCCACTGGATTAGACAGAGGCCAGACAGTGATGGCACACACCTTAAATTCCAATACTAGTTAACCATAAAAGTCTGGAGGTCTGTACAGACAGACAGGAAATGATAGAACTGGACAGGAAGAGGAAGTGATATAGCTGGGCAGAGAGAGGAAATGAGATGGCAGAACAGAAAGGCATATAGGTGTGGGTATACAGGAAGTAGGTTTCTTTGGATGAGGATTTCCAAGTGGTGAGAACGTAGCTGGCTTCTTTCTGCTTTTCTGATCTCTCAGTTTTTAACCCCAATATCAGGCTCTGGGCTTTATTAATAAGACCGTTTAGTATTTCATGTTACACTCTCCCCCTTGTCTCTCATGACCTCCAGTTACAGCTGAGGCTGAGTCCTAAGATTGGTCTCCTTGTTTTTATTTCTGCCATTATGTATGCTGTTGTTGAAAACCCTGTGATGGGCTCTGGCTGCTAAGGATGGAGGCATGTCTTTGCCAAGGAGACTTTATTCTGAGCATTGTCTCTTTCTCTGAGCCTGTCCTATATTATGTCTGTCTATCCACTCTGGCTGAGGGATGGGAGCCAGTCCTGAAGAGCCCCAGCCATGTCATGGCTCAGAGGCTGGGTAGTGGTGCCTAGACCCCTCCACTGGGACTTACCTTACTTTGAGGAGCCTCATGATATTTTCGAAGTAATTTTGATTCAAGGTTTCTTCTAGTCTCTTCATCTTCCCCTGGTCAGGCAACATGAAGATGGCGATGACTTCATTCCTATAAGGATTTGCCACCACCCAGGTGGACAGCTCTTCCTCTCGGTACAATAAATATATATCTCGGCGATTGATCATGAGCACTTTCACGGTCCTGTACTTGTTCACATGGAAGTCCTCTTCCAAGGTGTGTTCAGCCTCGGCTTCATCATACTCTTTGCCTGGAGAGAAGGGAGGGCATCTCAGCCAGTGGTGGGATCAAGGGGTAGCTAAGTTTTAGAGGAAAGAAGTATTGAGTGCCTCGGGAGACACTCCCTCTGAGCCTTGGCTTTATCAGCTGTAAAACGGGATGGAAATGAACCCATCAGGATGCTTGACAGCACTTTAGAAAATAGTGGGAAGCAGTAGGAAGGGGCTCAGAGAAATATGTGGGCTAATTTGTGAAAACCTGGCTCCAGTGAAGAAGCCGTTTTGTTTGGAATTCTTCTGGTAGTCCCCTGAGGATGCTAAATGGAGACAAGTGGGCATAATCCCAATCTCCTATAATCTTATATGTCACATCTCATATGGGTGTCTTTCCTGGTGTCTGCCTGTACTTTGTAGGTAGTGCTTCTGGGAAAGCCTAGTGGGTACCTTTGCATCTCTGTCTCAGGCCCGTGATAAAGTGCATGTACCTAGGAAGACTCTCTCTGCTGTACAAGTGCCTTCTGTCAAGGCTGTCAGAGAGGGTAGGGGCCCCGGGGAACCCTGGGCCTTCCTAGCATTGGACAGACGCTAAGCTCCCCTACATCATAACAGAGCTGGGAGCTCCATGTGCTGATGCTTTCCTTGGTGCTCTGTAGTACACTGCTCTGCTTGGCAGTATGGGGACTATGTTAGAAAGGTGCATCCATGGCCTTGACTCCCATCCCCCTCCTATGAGTGGATGCTTCCTGGAGGATGTGGAGTGTCTTTGGGATGTGGACTCGTGAGGCCCTGATATACTCAAAAGAAGCAAGTCAGGCTTAAAAAATCAAGGTTATTTGATCAGCTCCTTGTTTTTGCTTCCGCCATTCCATATGCTGCTGTTGAAAACTCCGTGGTGGGCCCTGGCTGCTGAGGATGGAGGTGTGTCTGCACCAAGGAGAAGATGTCTCTTTATGTTGAGCATTGTTCCTGTCTCTGAGCCTGGCCTGCACTGTGGTATGGAGCATTGTGTCTGTCTACAAGTTCTAGACTCTCCATCATAGCTCTGGCTAAGGCATGGTGGCCAGGCCTTCAGGGCCCCAGCTGTGTCATGGCTCAGAGGCTGGGAAGGGGCACTTTCCTCCCTGGATGAGGGGCTCACCGTAATAGACAAACCTGAAGTCTTACATTCTGTGTAGCTTGGTTAGGTAACTGTCGAGGCAAGAGTTTATACAAGTTGATAACAACAGTATTGCTGTCCCCCCCCCCCACAATAAACTAGGACACCCACATCCCGAACATTTATGTTAGCTCTCAGTATATCGTGACTAATGAATGGTGAAGACAGAATTCAAACCCAGGTCTTGCACACTTCATTGCTAAACTCTGCTCTGTTACTCAAGACTTTACTAAAATTAAGTCACCCAAAGCACTATTTGTTCTATGCCATCTGTAGCAATTTGCATATATGACTGGCAACTAAGGGAATGTTATGTATCTGGTATTCACCCCCCTTAGGGATTTCCAGTGAGCCTGAGTATCACAGTGTAACACAGTCCACAAGGAATTAAAATTTCCCCAGGAGACCTAATGCTGAGGATGAGACTAGCTGAAAGCCCTGGCATCAGAGGAAGAAGCCATCTTCCAGAAAATGATTAATCTATGTTCTGAAAATGTACATTGAAGTCAACCTACATATGAATATTTCTTGGCTTTTGTTTCATTTCTATTAACTGTGACACCACACAGATAAGACAGAAGAAAGATATAGAGATTTTTCTCTCTCCAGTTCCAGCCAAGACTGTAAATGAGGTCATTTCCTTCAACCAAGCTTTAGTTCCTATTTTCCTAGCTAAGTGGCATGCAGTCACCTTCAGATTCTGATAATGTTTTTGGCAAGCCAGTCAGGAGAAAGGGCTCCAGAGGAAGAGATTTAGGCTTTTCATGGCAAGCTAGCCCTGTGTTTAGGATAATGGGGGATATCCTTAGTTCCTCAGCTTTGGGGACATGTCTTATATACTTGGATTTTCCCACTCCTCATTTAGATAGCATTGGCTGTGAATTAATAAAACTCACCAAGTTGGTAGTAGAAAAAGAGGTTGATTTTTTAAAAATGATATCCATACTAAATAAGGTAATGATACTGCCCCCAAACACAGACTGTGGGGGCATGTGACATTGGGGGTGGGGGACTCACTTCTGAGAGGCTGAGGGATGAATGACTTATTCAATGTACACACGTGTGTGTTTGTATATGGTACTAAGTAAGGTCTCCCAGATGCCTCCTGGTTCACATGACTTAGGTAAATCTTTGACAGATCAGTTAATTAAATTTGTCTTAAGATAAATTAAAAATGCTTTATTTTGTTAAAAAGGAAAGAAATCAGAAGATTGTCTCAAATTATATACGAAAGAACAAGAAGAAAGAAAAAATGAGTCAAGTAGGAAAAAAGATATAGGAAGTTTGTTTGTTTGTTGAGACAGAAGGATCTTACTATGTAGCCCAGGCTGACCTGAAGCTCTCACTATGTAGTCCAGGCTGGCTTCCAACTCATAATGACCCACCTGCCTCTACCTCCTAACCCTGAAGATCATATTGGGATGCTGCTTGCTACATTCTGGTACATCAAGGAAGGACTAAGTACTAGAACATGAGTACATTTTTGGGTGGCTTCCTTGAGGTCACTAACTCTGGTGGTCTTATCTTACCTTGGAAGAAGATGTAATTCATCAGAGCAAAAGCTTTGTCTTTCTCCAGATCCTTGAACAATCCCACTATTTTCCCTTGGGTTTCATCCTCCACATACTCGTTGATCTGTTTTTGGGCTCTGTAGGTGTCATTGAAGTTGACAGGAATGGGTTTTATTGAGTTCAGCCAATGGATCGCATTTGCAAAAAAGTCTACCAGCTTCAGATTCTGGTCAAGGAATATGCTGCTCTTTATGGTTAGGTGCTGTGGCTTGTGGTTTTTCAGGAGGTTATGCAGAAGCTGCTTCATACATATTAGAGTGTACAATGTTGGTTCTGTAATGTTGAGCTGCAATCCCTCCAGGATCTGGTTGTGGGTATTATTTTTGGCTCCCAGGGAGATGATTAAAGAGGCAACAATGATGTTCACTGGGGAGAATAAGATGTTGGTATCTTTTGTCCAACTATCAGACTTCTGATACAAGGTGAAGGTAAGCCGGAAGATGTTGTAGTAGACGCTTTCGCAAAACCCATAGTTCATAGATCCATAGTCATGTTCATCCTCATCTCTCTGCAGGGAATCTTGAGGCTGGGAGCCAGAGAAAAGGCAGCACAGGCCTGCTAGCCAAAGGAGTCTCTGGGGGACAGAGGATGACATTGTCCTGCAAGACAGAGATGGGGGCCCAAGTCCTAAGTCAAAGTCAAGGCTCATAAAGATTTCTACATGTGCTACAACTGTCCTACATTCCTACAACCATGTGCTCAACTCTCCCAATTATTCTCTCTCTGTGAAACACCATTTGCTCAAATGAATGTGGTTTGCTCCTGCAAACTCTGAAGAGTCACAGTTGCTGGGACAGGAAGGATGACAGTGGACTTGGGTTCTAGTCTAGACTCTGCTTCTAATGACTGTGTGACCCATGCACACACACACACAAAATCTCAGCTTTGAAATGAGATAGTTGTGGGTAAATTAATAACTACAGACAAATCACTGAGAACATTCAGATACAACCTCAGAGTAGTTCCCGGGGGGAAGCAGGGTGGTGGGCTTAGCAAACTGTCAACAGTTAGGACTAGCCAAGGTCCATGAATCCAAAAGAGAAAAAAAAGGGATGGAGGGGGAGCCCAGCTATGCCAGGAGTTAGTGAGCACATTTCTCCCTTGAGGTTCTGGAGTTCTCACCAGGATATCAAGATCTGAGTGCTCTGGGGCAGGGGGGTGCACTAAAGGAAGAGGGCTGAGGAACAGACTGTACTCTGGAATTTAGCTCTGAAAATCCAGAGCCGAAAAAGATTCCTTTCTCCTCGAAGACAGTTAGGGTTGTAGATGGTCATATAGTCACAAACCCCTTGGCAGGGTCTCTGGCTCAGTGTGGGCAGCCCTAAGAAGGACCCCCAAGGCAGATCAGGTGCCTGCGGCAGGGTGGGGGGGGTGAGTTTACCCAAGGTGGCTTCTCACCTCTCTACAGGCAGAGAACAGGGGAAGGCCAGAGATCCAGGGCCCAAAGCAGGTCACAAGCCCTGCCCTTACCAGCACATACTGTGGGCCTACTATATGTTGAGAACACAGAGCAAGGCCTTACTCTATCCATAGGATCTAAGCTGGGTGCCTTGGTTTCCCATGTATGAACAGGATGTTGGGCCCAAGGGATGGAGGCTGACAGTGCCCACCCTGAGGACTCAAGTGGAGCATGATGAAGGACTTACTGAGTAGAGTCAGCTGAGGCCAGTGGGAGAGTCACAGGCTGGGTGCGCCCTGCACAGCCTTTCCCTGGAGACTTATAAGCTGACCTGATTGCAGAGGTGGGTAGGTATAGGGACACTCAGTCCCGATGCTTACAGAGACACTTCAGGCTGGAGAAGATCCTGAGGCTGATTGGGAGGCTGGCCATGGAACTGGGCCATGTACTACTATAACTCGAGGGCTTTGTCACCTTTCCAGGGGTTGGCTTAGTCCAGTGCAAACAGAAAGTGGGGAGAGAGGGGGGGTTCCAGGGTCACTGCAGCTTAGAGTAGGCAATAGGTACACACTGTAACCAACTGCATAGGAGAGGAGATATTTCAAAGAGAGCGACTTCTACTATCAGACTGTTGAAACAACAGACCCCAAATAAATAATTTTCCAGGAATTCCATGCCAGATAAAGGGAAAGGCTGAAATCCTGGTGCCAGCCACAGCAGACACTTGCCTCCCCAGAGGAGATCTCACTCAGTTCTGATAAGTTAGGCTGACATACTCTATTTCCTGGCTTGTGTTATGTAGTGTCTTTACTCAGTGTTCTATTGCTGTGAAGAGACATTATGAGCATAGCAACACTTACAAAGGAAAGCATTTAATTGGGGCTTGCTTACAGTTTCAGAGATTGAGTCCATTATCATCATGGCAGAGGGCATGATGGTGTGCAGGCAGACATGGTGCTGGAGAAGTGGCTGAGAGTTCTACATCTGGACCTACGGCAGCAGGAAGACAGAGCCACTGGGCCTGGCTTGGGCTTTTGAAACCTCAAAACCAACCCCCAGGTGACACACTTCTTCTTCCAAAAGGCCACACTTCTGAATACTTCTCGGGTAGTGCTACTTCCCTGATGACCAAGCATTTTAAGCTCTGAGCCTATAGAGGCTGTTCCTGTTCAAACCACCACATGTATCTTCTATACAATTCTAACACTACCATGGAAAAGGTTATAAGCAAATGGGACCCGTTTCCTCCTTGGTTTGACTAAACTGTAGTAAGTCTGTTTCCCTCCATCAGTTTGCTCCCCTGTGTCTTTAAGAAGCAGGGGTCATGACTCTAAGCGCCCCACTTAACAACTGTAACAGAGCCTGTCAGAGGGGAACCCACAACTAACTGACCCTCTGGCTGGGAAAAAGGTAGATTCTGTTTCTGGGCACTTCCCCTCAAGAGAAGCCTGCTTTCCCTTACTTTTACATTAAATAAAATTTGACTTTCGTGGTAGTTTGAGTGAGAATGGCTCCCAAAGGTCATATATTTGAATATTTTGGTTTCCAGTTGGTGAAACTGTTTGGGAAGGATTAAGAGGTGTGGCCTCCTTGGAGGAGAAGTTTCACTATAAGTGAGTTGAGGTTTCAAAAGCCCAAGCCATTACAGTTCTCTCTCTCTCTCTCTCTCTCTCTCTCTCTCTCTCTCTCTCTCTCTCTCTTTCTCTCTCTCACTTGTAGATCAGATGTAAGCTCTCAGCTACTGGTCCAGTGCCATACATGCCATGCGTGCCTGCCTGCTGCCATGCTTCTCATAATAATGCTCGTGGACTCACCCTCTGAAACAGCAAGCAAGCCCACAATTAAATGTTTTCTTTTACAGGTTGCCTTGCTTCTGGTATTTTGTCATGGCAACAGAAAAGGAATTAGGAAACTTCAACCCCCACCCTCCTTTTTTTTTTAAAAAAATTTTTCTTTATTAAGAAATTTTCTACTCACTCTACATACTACCCACAGATCCCTCCTCCTCCCTCCTCGCTCCCCCCAGCCCTCCCTCCCAAGCCACCCCGCATCCCCACATCCCCCAAATCAAGGTCTCCCATGGGGAGTCAGCAGAGCCTGGTACACTGAACCTAGGCAGGTCCAAGTCCCTTCCCACTGCACCAAGGCTACACAAGGCATCACACCACAGGCACTGGGCTCCCAAAGGCCTGCCCATGCACCAGGGGCAGATCCCAATGCCCCTGCCTGGGTGCCTCCCAAACAGTTCGAGCCAAACAACCATATCCAGAGGGCCTAGTCCAGTTCCATGGGGGCTCCACAGCCACAAGTCTATAGTTCATGGGCTTCTACTAATGTGGCCAGTCATCTCTGTACATCTTCCCATCATGATATCAACGTTCCCCACCTGCAGAATCCCTCCTCTCTCTCATCGATTGGATTCCCGGAGCTCAGCCTGGTGCCTGGCCGTGGATCTCTGCATCTCCCTCCATCAGTCACTGGACAAAGGCTCTATGATGACGGTTAGGGTATTCACTAGGCTGGTCACCAGAGTAGACCAGTCCAGGCACCCTCCAGACCACTGCCAGCAGTCCAAGGCCCCACCCTCTTTTTTTTCTTTTAGTTCTTTAATCATCTGAGAAAATGAACCTACGCCTATACCCCAGATAACATCAGGACAGGCTTGATATTTTCCATGGTTTGACAAATTATCGCAGAGAGCCCCTGGACACCTGGGTCTCTCTCTCTCAAATGTACCCACAGAACCTTAAATGGCTCCATAAAAAACAACATGTACCAACCTTTCCTGGCAGGCATCAACATGTATCAACCTCGGAGAGCACATGCCCAGACAATCCAACAGAGCTCCAACCTTGCTCAGGAGAGCTTCCAGATGGCTAAGACCTGCCATTCAGCCCAGGAGTCCAAAAAAATGGAAGCAGTTCAGGAGAACACTCACAGAAATGGTTCAAAAAGAACTCATGTGGCTCAAAGGAGCCTCCAAACTGATGGCCGGCAAAGCCCAAGGTGCCCAGAGTGAGAAGAAATTTATTGAGGGCCAAACTTTCTTGAGAGTCTAAGGCAAAGCCTAAATTCTTATTTCTTGGCTTTACCTGACAGAGGATAGAAAAGTTGCTGAAATGGGAAGGTGAGAAAAATCCCCCGGATATGAGGTCATTTCAGCATCTGTGTGGCACTTTCCAGCCTTCCCTCTCCATCTGGGGTCAACTTGCTGCTCGTGGCTGGCATCCACAATTAGTCTTTTCTCCTGATTTGCCAAAATTGTTAGCGGAGTCCTTAGCTTTAGCGTCAGGGCCGTGGCAATCCTAACAAGACAGACATGTCAGCTCATCCTCAAGAGGCCAATTAAACAGATGGGTATTCGTGAAAAGCAAAGAGATTTATTCCCTTTGTATTTACACTGGAAAAGTGAACAGAGGCCCAGAGACATTCTCCCTGGCCCTGAGACATTGTCTCAGCTCCCCTCCTGGAGGGTGGTGGAGTAAGTTCTCAGACCTGTAGGGAATCTCTTCCTAGAAGATGGGTTACCCCATCTCTCACCTAGCTGTCCCCAAGGTAGATGTGGCCCTTTTATTCCCCGTACAGGAAACTCTGGGGAATTCCAGTTTCCTGGGCCTGTTGTCTCAAAACTGTGTGTTTCTTCTCATCACAAAAGAGTCTGATCACTCAAGTGTCTCTTTGGAATGTTTTCTTTCCTGTCAGGAAGAGGACAGGCCTAAGTGGGGAGATTAAAATCTGCTAAAGTAATAAAGCGGTTACCTGGTAGTGCCAGCTCTGTGTCCCCAGGGTGAAGGGGTTGCTGTTTCGTTTGTTTGTTTCAGTTTTCCTTTTTTCGCTTGTGTGAGCAGGGAGGTTCAGGAGTGGCCCCCTGACCACCATTCCAAAGGTGTCTTCATTAGGGTTTCTTCTGCTGTGATAAAACACCATGACCAAAAGGAACTTGGGGGAGGAAAGGGCTTATTCAATTTCTAACTCTGCACCACAGCCCATCACTGAGGGAAGTCAAGGCATCACCTGATGTGGGGGTGGGGTGGGGTGCTGCTGCTGCGGCTGCTTGCTCGCTTACTCCACACGGCTTGCTCAGCTTGATCGTAGCACCCAGGACTACCTTCCCAGGGCTGACACCACCCATAGTGGTCATTAACCAGGAAAATGATCTACAGACATGCCCACAGACTGTTTTTTCAGTTAAGATCTCCTCTCCCTAGATATGTCCAAATTGTGTCAAATTGACCCCCCCAAAAAAACACAACAACAAAAACAAACCACCAAAACAACAACAACAACAAAACCAACCAGGACACAAGGCCACAGCACAGGCCCTGCGCTCAGACCAGGCCCAGTACCCTCATGGTGAGAGACTCCAATCTGCCCCCCCAGATCAGCGTTCCCCAAAGCTTGTTCCATCAGCAAATTTCTC